AACTGGAAAGCAATATGCAAATAGACTTGCTGTGATTTTAAGCAGCTTTCTCGGTAACTCAGATGTGCACAGTGCAGAAAGTCTCCTGTGCTTTCCACACATGTCCAATGTAATTGTTCTATCTGATATGAACCTGTCCCCTTCTTCCAATGCTAAAAACAGTACTATGGGAACTAAATTGGTCTGGGAGGAAGAGACTGAGCCTACCAAGTATTTTCAGAACAACCCCTAAGGTTTTTCTCTATTCGTCTAATTTGGAAATATTGGTGTTAAGACCCTAGTGGATCAGTTCCAGCCCAGACAACCCTGGTTTTATGTATGTAGAAATGAAATGAGCTTTGGGTTATAGCTAATCAGCTTAATAACAATATCAGCATCTGCACAGTTTTATGGCTATTCCTAACCTTGGTTGGGTTCCTGCTTGCATCCCAGTCTCCCAGTGTGTAGATTCTTATCATACAACCCAACTCCCTCTCTTGTACCTAAGAGATCATTTCCAACTGTTGATGCCCATTTCTTCCTTTTATAATACTACATTTACTCCACCCATGTGGATTCCCTTTTGCCTTCTCTGTGATGTTTATAGAGTTTAGCAATCTTGCCATGCCTTGCTTGGCTGTTCATATTGTATTATCTGTGTACCTCATAGTGGTTTTGATTCTTTAATACTGTTCTCAAGCATTTTGCTTGCTCTTTTTATACATATTTCTTGCTTCATGCTCTCGGATTAACAAAATTTCCCATTTGTCATTTACCCATTTCATAAATCTCTGTTTTAATGCCTTTCTTCTTCTTCGTTGACCCTCTAGTGCCTCTCTTAACTGCCATTCCTGTTAATATCTGTTAGAAGACAGCTGATAATTAATATTCATACTATTAATACATGTTTCCTCTTTCATATATAATTGGATTTAATAGATCTAGAAATGTACAAATAAGGAGTATATCAGGTCTCAACTCCTGCCTTTTAATTTTCAGGTTACAAGTTGAATTAGCAGGAGAGTTTAAGAACTAGTAATGGACTACACTTATTTTGTTAATTGCCTGTAGCTTCCTCTGCCTGGAAAGAGGTTCACAAGAGTCCATGTTTCATAGCACCATACTTCCTGCCTTCCATCACAAATGCTTGTATCTTCATTTTGCACCGTACCCAAGGTCAGTAAATCTATATATAGACTTATAAGTCATCTGTAGCTTACCCTAGTTTGAAAACGTGAACAGAACTGATAGGATTATCCCCACTTGGCAATTTGAAGTAAGAGAACAAGTCAGTTGGCCATGGAAACACCATGGAAGGATGGCATGAGATAGAATTACGTACAAGAAAAAAGGTTGAATTTATGAAGATGCACAAATGAGGGAAGTACAGAAAGAAGTAGAGAATATTTATACAGGAAAGAAAATGAGAATAAGAGACTGGAGAAGGGAGGAGATTCATGTCAAAGCTTAACATTAATGGGCAGAGCATTAGCTGCAAGGCCTTAAAATTCTTGCTACGAAATTTTGTAGAACTATAGTGAATCCTTCCAGTTTTAAAAGGAGAGTCCTCTCCTCATGAGATCTAGTGTGGTTCTTTCTTAAAGTTTTGTACTAGATTTCTACATTCCTCTTTCCTCAATGTACATAGATAATATGAACATTTTTATGCCTATTTTTGAAATTAGTTTTTACATTACTTGAAATAACTTCAGTGTGCTTCTGTTCTTTGCAGCCAAAAGTGCCAAAATACAACATGGGGTGTATTTTTTGCCCACCTGTATCTGCTTCATCAAAAGTAATAAATATCAAAGGGTGAATCACTCCTAAAACAGGATATTTTCTTTGTGTTTGATTGCTTTTGTAATTTTAATTTATGGGCCTAAAATTTTATAAAAGATACAATTTCTTTTTTTTTTTTTTTAGCATCAGGTTTACTATGGTATAATGTACATACAATGAAATCCACCCTTTTCAGTTATCCCATTCTATGAGGTAAATGCATAAAGCCGCGCATCCACCCCCACAATCGAGACATGGTATATGGCCCCCTGCCAAAGTCCCTCTGTGCTCCCTTTGTAGCTCACCCCTTGGCCTCCTCTCATCCCGTCCCATCCCTAGTGTGTTTTCTGTCTCGGTCTGTTTTGCCTTCTCCAGAATGCCACACAAACAACGTCATCGGGTGTATTGGCTTTTGAGTAGGACTTCTCCACTCAGCGTGGTGCCTTTGAGATTCAGTCCATGTTGTTGAGTGTATAAGTAGCCTGTTTCTTTTGATTGCGGAGTACTACCTTATGGTATGGATAGACCACAATTTGTTTATCCATTCACCAGTTGTGAACATTTGAGTTGCTTACATTTTGAGGAGATTATGAAATAAATCTGTGAACATTTGCATAAATGTTTTTGTGCAGATGTATGTTTTCTTTTCTTGCCACTTAGGAGTGGGCTGGCTGGGCCGTACGGTAAGGAACTGCCAAACTAGGATCACAAGAATTCCATATTATGCATTCTCACCAGGACTTAATATTGTCAATTTCAGTACTAATTGTTATGATATAAATATTTTTAAATATACATATTTAAATATAAATATATATAATTACTTATATAAAAGTAAATATTCTTAGATCAGTTAAAAGATAAACAAAACCTAATGTTGTTAAAGGATAACATCCTATTCTTATTAAAAGAAACTAAATTTTAGGTACACCTGGCTGGTTCAGTTGGTTAAGCATCAGGCTTTAGATTTCAGCTCAGGTCATGATCTCAGATGGTGAGACCCAGCCCCTCATTGAGCTCCACACTCAGTGGGGAGTCTGCTTGAGATTCTCTCTCTCCCTCTGCCCCTCCCCCCACATATTCTCCTTCTCTCTCTAAAATAAATATTTTTAAAATTAAACTAAATTTTATGTAATAACTTGTTTTAATTTTTTTTCTAGATTGAACCAAACATTGCATGTGATTCAGTGATATGTCATTAGGAGGCATTATTCATTCTCTGTGAACTATTGTGTTAGGCAGACACTAGGCTGGCCTCAGTGATCATCACTTCCTGGTATTCATGCCCTTTTGCTCTTTTGCAATTTCTTTCCCTTAAGTAGGGTCTAGGATTACTGACTTTCGTTAACAACAACAACAAAAATGGTGGAAGTGATAGATTGCTACTTCCTGTGTTAAGTTTCAAGGAGTCTGTGGCTTCCATTTTGTATTCCCACTCTTGCTCTCTTTTGTCTATCTCTGAAGGAAGGTGAGCTGACCCGTAAAGGCCAGAACAGCCATGAATTGAGACCCTTAGTCTAATAGCCAACAGGGATTGAATCCTGCCAAACCTATGTGAATGGGTTTGGGAACAAACATATCCTTCCCCTACTGAGTCTACATAGGAGAATCAGCCCTAGCTAATAACTTAATCACAACCTTATGAGAGACACTGAAGCAGGGGTACCCAGCTAGCCATGCTGTGATTGATGACCTACAGAAACTATAAAATAATAAGTGTTTGTTGATTTATGCACTAAGTGTTGGAACAATTATTTAATCAGCAATAGGTAACTAATACTGCCATCAGAAATTGTTAGTTTTTATTGCTGGAAATTATAAAGAAGAACAAAAGTGCCTAGTTGTGAAAATAATTAAATACCATCTTATTATTTCTAGGGACATAGTAAAGGAGAGGGTCTCACTTCTCTCATCTAACATTCCTATACATCATAATAATCATCAAATTTAAAAGCTAAAAATTTCTCATTGTTATTCTTTCTAGCTTAAAAGGTTATTGTAATATATTATGATCCATAACTAGTAACCCACCATATCTATATACTGGTTTTTGTGAAACGTCAACATACCTTTTTGCCCATTACACTTCAGTCTCACTGATTTTTTACAGAGTATTTTTTTTTTGTATGCATATAATCCTTTAAGATGGGTCAACATGAAGGTTCTCTAAGTTTGTAGATTTTTAATTATAGTGACTCTTTTCCATGGTAAACATTCTTCTACATTTTCCTCTTTTGTGAGTTACGTTTTTTGTTATGCCTGTTTTACCTAATCTATTGCTATTATACAAATCACCCCAAAATATGGTGTTAAAAATAACAACCATTTATTTGCCCATGATTCTGAAACAGGGTTCATTTTTGTTCAATGTGATTGGCTGGGTCACTCATGCAGTGCCTTTGTCTGGGAATTTGACTAGAGCTAAAATATTCAACATGCCTTAGATCACATGAAATGTGCCTCAGTGATTATGCCTGGAATAGCTATGGGCTGGCCAGGCAACTCTTTTTTTCTCTGATTGGTTTCTATAGCAGATTAGCCAGAAAATTTTACATGATACCTCAGGGCTTCAAGAGATTGAAAGGTGAAGCTGCCAGGCCTTTTTAGGGCAAGGCATATGTTGGTTTGCCACCCTCCCAGGAGCTTTTCTGGTATAATCCGAAATTGGCTTCTGTACTCAGAGGGCAGGGAGAGACCAAAGAAAGAGACAGGCTACTCCTGATTGGTAGGTGGCAGTTTTAATAAGCAAAGGAAGCTCACATACAGGCTTGTCTTGAGTGGCAGCAAGACAAATGAATCCCCACAGCCACCAGCCAAATCATAAAAGTTTATAAAGAGGCCCTAACTGGGCTCAGTCATGTATGCCATGCACTTGTTTTCAACACCACATTACTATCTGAAGGCTATGTCCTTGGAGCAAACCACTGGGAGCGAGAAAGTAAGTGGAATCCACATTCCAAGGACAGGGGAAAGGAGCCTCTGAGTGCCCAGACCCAGCTCACAGGCCCGTTGTGGTCACATCTTTCTGATGATGTTTCCCAACAAGAAGGAACTAATTTAGTGTCAATTTCACTACACTCTATTGATAAAAATAATTCCCAAGGCCAACCCAGAGTATTAGAGGTAACATTGATGAGATGCCTTGATGGGAGGAGTGGCTTCTGCATACAAGAATGGAAGAGATGTTGGTCATCTTTGGGAATTATACATCACAATGCCCAGGAACTTTAGCTATGTGATGCCTGTTACTGGCTACGGATTCTAGAAAGAAAGATGCGGTAATAGTCATAGCTTGCTGAACTTAAAATATGTGTTGTTTATGTTTATAGTTTATATAATATATATTTATACACACAGATCAAGTGAAAATCAGCATTTCTCTGCTCTGTAGATTTGCAATTATAACTCTTAAGACCATAAATCCTAGAAAAGGTAGAAGAGACTGAAACATTTTTAGATGGAGAAAGGGATATTAAAGTCCCAAAATAAACACTGAGTGGCAGAGGAGTCAGCAGAAACTTTAAAGTTTTGTGGAAAAAGACGATGAAAGGAAAGCACTGAGGAAAAAAAAAAAGTAGGTAAAGATAATCTTTAAAGAGTTAGAACAGTACCTGCCTCTATAGTTTAGACAACTGAGAAGAGATGCAGTTTCCCTGTCAAAAGATATTAATAAAAGAAATAGCCACATGATATATTCTAGAGATTTATAGTCCACATTGTGATTTTTTGAGCCCCTGTTGCTTTCAGAAGTATGGTATTCACATTGTTAAAAATATAGTGGAATTGAGATAAACTGTGTTTGTAATCTTAAAATTTTAGCCTGCTTTAAAATATGAAATCTTATCTTATTTCTGGAGGAGGATTGAGGGGTTGCTATCTGAGTAAAAGTAAATAGAAGGACTTACATGAGGTATTGGATGTAGGATGTATTGTACAGTAGGATGTAATGTGCACATTATAGTTCAGGGAATTTGTGGAAGCCCGGTATCAAACAAATAAAAAACACTTTTCAGAAACTGAATTAAGGGGATAGTCCTAGACAATTAGAATGATGTCTAAAACCTACAGTATTTCTGCAATATTTATTTTGTATATTAACTGTAATTACACCACCTTTAATTAGTGTATGATTCTATTCCAGAATGATTTATATTAAACAATTTACCAAGAAATGATACTGAAATATTGGTTTTATTTATTTATTTTGAACACTATAATTGAGATGTAATCATATACCTTAAAATTCACACATTTAAAGTGTATAATTCAATGCTTTTTAGAATAGTCACAGAGTTGTGCAACCATTACCGCAGTTTAATTATAGAACATTTTCATCACCCCCAGATAATTCTGGTACACATTAGCAGTCACTACTTATTGCTACCCACCATCCTACATCCAAGTCTAGGAAACCACTAACCTATTTTCTATATCTATAAATTTACTTATTCTGAATGTTTCACAAAAATGTAATCATAGATTATATTGCTTTTGTCAGTGGATTCTTAAACCTAATCTTTTCAGGATTCATCTTTATTTTAAGATGTACGAGTACTTAATTCTTTACTGCTGAATGATATTCTGTTGTGTGGATACATTACATTTGCTTTATCCATTCAGCAATTGGTGGACATTTGCATTGTTTTACTTTTTGGTTATTAAAGAATAATGATGCTATGACAACTCATGTATAAGTTCACATATGGACATATATTTTCATTTCTACTGGCTATACCTAGGAGTGAATTTACTGGGTCATATGGTAACTCTGTGTTTAACATTTTGAAGAACTGCCAAAAATCTTTTCCAAAGTGGCTTCACCATTTTACATTGAAACAGAAATGGATGAGGATTCTAATTTCCCTGTATCCTCTTGTTATTTTCCCCCTTTTTTATTTTAAGTATCCTCATGAAACTGAAGTGGTAGCTCATGTGGTTTTGATTTACATTTCCTTAATGACTAATGATCTTAAGCATCTTTTCTTGTACTTATTAGCCATTTGTATATCTTCTTGGGAGAAATGTGTGTTCAGATTCTTTGACCAATTACTGATTGGGTTGTCTTTTGAGTTATAAGCATTCTTAATGTATTCTGGAAACAAAACCCTTTAGATGTATGATTTGAAATATTTACTAGCATTCTGTAGGTTATTTTTTAACTTTCTTGATGTTATTGTTAAGCACCAACACTTTTAAATTGGAGTTAATCCAACTTACCTATTTTTCCTTTGTTTTTTGCAAAGGAAAATGGCATTATAGCTAAGAAAATACTGCCTATCCCAAGGTCACCAAGATTTACTCACATGTTTACTTCGTAAAAGTTGTAGAGTTTTGGCTCTTACATTTAAGTTTAAGATACATTTTGAGTTAATTTTTATGTATGTTGTGAGGTGGGGGTCCAACTTCTCTTTTTTCTTTCCCTTTTTTCTTTTCTTTTCTTTTCTTTTCTTTTCTTTTTTCTTTTCTTTTCTTTTCTTCCCTCCTTTCCCTTTCCTTCCCTTCCCTTCCTTTCCCTCTCCTTCCTTCCTTCATCTTCCATCCTTCCTTCTTTCTGTTTCTCTTTCTGTCTTTCTTTGCATTTGGATATCTAGTTACCCCAACTATTTGTCGAAAAGACAGTTCTTCTCTAGTTGAATAAGTTTGGCACCCTTGTTGAAAGTAAATTGGCCATAAATGTAAAGGTTTGTTTCTGCATCCTCAATTCTATATGTCTCTTCGTATACCAGTACCACACAGTTTGAATTATCATAGTTCTCCAACTTGATTCTTCTTTTTGAGGATTGTATTAGCTATTATGCATATCTTACATTTGCATATAAACTTTAAAGATTTATTTATTTATTTTAGAGAGAGAGAGAGAGTGCCACATGAGAGTGAGGGTAGGGGCAGAGGGAAAGAATCTCCAAGCAGACTCCCCACTGAGCATGGAGCCGGATATGGGGTTCGATCTCATGACCCATGAAATCATGACCTGAGCTGAAACCAAGAGTCAGACACTCAACGAACTGAGCCACCGATACACCCCCTGCATATGAATTTTAGAATCAATTTGATATTTCCTACAGAAAAAACAGTGGACATATTCATACAAATGGTGTTGAATCTGTAGACCATTAGAGGTGGTATTGTCATCTTAACATTGAGTCTTAGAATCCATGAACAGGGGATGCCTTAGACCCTAATTCCTTTCAGCAATATTTTATACTAATTAGTGTAAATATTTTATATTTCTTTTAAGTTTATTCCTAAACATTTTATTGTTAATGCTATTGGAAATAGAATTGTTTCTTCAATTTTATTTTTGTACTTTTCATTGTTACTGTGTAGAAATACAGTTGAGTTTTCAGTTTGATCCTGTGTCCTACAACCTAGATGAGCTTTTAATTAGTTTGAATATTTTTAGTGAATTCCTTAGGATTTTCTCTATATAAGGTTATGTTCTTTGCAAATAATGATAATTTTGTGCCTTACTTTCTAGTTTTGATAGCTTTTATTCCTTCTCTTTGACAGATTGCCCTAGCTAGAACTTCCATTAAATGTGATTAGACAGCCTTGTCTTGTTCCTGATTTTAGAGGAAAAGTTTTCAGTTTCACCATGGACTATAATTTTAATTGTGGATTTTCATACATACCCTCATTCAGGTTGTGGAAGTTCTCTTTAATTCCTAGTTTGAGTTGTTTTTATAATTAAAGGATGTTGGATTTTGCCAAGTGCTTTTGCTGCATCAGTAGATAATCATGCAGTTTCTTACTTTATTAATATGGTCTGTTGCATTGATTTATTCTCTCAGATTTAACCAACCTTTCATGCCTAAGATTAATCCCACTTTGTTATGCTGTTTAACCGTATTTATATGTTGCTGGAATTGTTTTGCTAGGATTTTGTTGAGGATTTTTGCATCTATGTTTGCAGGGCATATTGGTTTGTAGTTTTCTTGTATTGTCTAGTTTGGGTATCAGTTTTGGCTTCATAAAATGAATTGGGAAGTTCCTTCATCTTCAGTTGTTTTGAAGATTTTGTGAAGAATTAGTATTTGCTCTTTTTTAAATGTTTAGTTTGATTTACCAGTGATGCCATTTAGGCTTGGGCTTTTCTTTTGAGAGAGTTACTTAATATGAATTCAAACTTTTTACTTGTTATAGTTCTACTCAAATATTACACTTCCTCTTGAGTCACTCTTGGTAGTCTTTACCTTTATAGGAATTTATTCAGCTCACTTACTTTATCTATTTTGTTAGCTCACAGGTGCTTATAGTATTTCCTTAAAAAACTTTTTTTCCCTTATAATAAGTTATGTAATAATTTCCCTCGTTATTTATGTGATTTTAGTAATTCATGTCTTCTTTCTTTTTTTTTTTTCTTGGCCAATCTGGCTAAAATTATACCAATTTTGTTGACATTTTCAATGCATCTTTTTGTTTGTTTCATTGATCTTTATTGTTTTAATGTTTTCTATTTCATTTATTTCCACTACTCTGTATAACTGCCTTCTTATGCTTCCTTTGATTTTTCTTTTTCTAATTTCTTAAGATCTAATTTCTTTAGCTGCACTGAAATTTTTATATGTAGTGTTTTTATTTTTATTCATCTCAAAATATTTACTAATTCATTCACCTCCAAGTATTTTTTTTATTTTTTTTAAAGATTTTATTTATTTATTTGACAGAGAGAGACAGCGAGAGCAGGAACACAAGCAGGGAGAGTGGGAGAGGGAGAAGCAGGCTTCCTGCTGAGCAGGGAGCCGGATGTGGGACTCGATCCCAGGACCCTGGGATCATGACCTGAGCCGAAGGCAGACGCTTAACGACTGAGCCACCCAGGCGCCCTCCAAGTATTTTTTAATTCCCCATGTGACATTTTTGTTCACCCATTAATTATTTCAGAGTTCATATTGGTTAATTTCCACTTATTTGTAAATGTCCTAAATTTCCTATTGAATTATAATTTAATTACATTGCATTTGGAAAAATACTTTGTATGATTTCAACTTTTTTTAATTTTTTGAAGTTTTGTTAAATTTGTTAAATGTGTTGTAGCATATGATCTCCCTTGTAGAATATCCAGTGTGCACCTGAGAAGAATATGCATTCTACTGTTGTTGGGTGAAGTGTTCTATACACATTTTCCTTCTTCCAGTTTTTTTATAATGTTTTCAAGTCTTCTATTTCTTGGTGGATCTTCTGATTACTGTTTCTTTCCATCCTTCGAAGTGGACATATTGAAGTCTCTACCAATAATTGTTCAATTTTTCATTTCTCCCTTTAATTATTAGGTTTTTTTCCATATATTTTGGGCTCTGTACTTACATGCATAATTCAAAATTAATTAAAATATAAACACATGTCAAAATGTATGCAAAGTATCTAAAAGAGTGCTCAGAATGCACTTTACTTATAAAAATATCAAGCTTATTGTGCTGATAAAAATGTAATGACCATTTAGTTTGATTTAGGGCGTTTGTTCAAAAAGTGTTAGCTGATAAGACTATGATTTTGTTGTTTTTTTTTACTCTGTCTAGATAATATACACCAGATTGAGGTTTTAAAATTACCCCAACTAATAAGTTTTCACATTTTGCCAGTTAAATTACCTTTTGAAACACAAATTGTTCAGACTTATTACTTACATGGATGACATCTTTTATTAATTTTCAGTCTGTTACCGGTTTTAACATGCTTGTTTGAACTTGTTTGAACATAGTCCATAACTGTGTCTCTCACGCTCAAATAAATGAATCAACACATACCTCTGCAGTTGAATCGCTGTATTATTAATACTACAAGTTTCTTCCATTGCTGAAGTATACTTGTCTTTCTTTAAGGTTTTTCATGATATGGAATTATAAAAAAGTAATCATATACAAGCCTAATAAAAACCTAATAATGTATATTAGTGAATATATTACTTAAAAAAAACTACTTTGGAAAACTATGAGATCTTTTTAAAACTGAGAGAGTCAATCAATAAAGTAGAGGCTATATGCTAGATAAAAAAAACAAAAAACAATGATAAAGTAACCTCAGAGGAAATTTATACTGAACTAAACTCTGGGAGGGTGATAAGATAGATCAAAGTGCTGAACCTAGAATGAATTTTTGTATGTGTGAAAGGAAAAAAAAAATAAGTATAGATTCTACCACATAAAGCTTTCAGCTTGAAAATATATTGCTTGCATGGTCAATCACTTGGATAACATTATTTTGTGATATATTAAATGTAGAAGCTATCTCTTCTGGCTTTTGAAGCATGACACAAAAAACGTTCAATAATCTTTATTTTTATGTTATGTTCAACATAAGAGAAAACCAAAATAAAATTCATCCAGACTTAATACTATAGTTGGTATACATTTTCTTATTTTGATAATTCTGTATACATTGTAAATGCTTGCTAAACTAGTTTTATTTATGGTTTGAGACTATAAATATCTCTCTAATTCTATATATTTAGTAGCCATAGAAATTAATTCAACAACTAGTCCAAAGTCCTACAATTTCAACTTTCATTTTACAGATAGCCAGTTAAAAACACAAAATTGAAATAATAAAGTAAAAGGAATTTCATTTTTTAAAGATTTTATTTATTTGAGAGAGACAGAGAGAGAGCATGTGCACACAAGCATGGGGCGGGGGGCAGCAGGAGAGGGAGAAGCAGACTCTGTGCTGAGCAAGGAGCCAGGCAAGGGGCTCTATCCCAGACCCTGGGATCATGACCTGAGCCGAAGGCAGGTGCTTGACTGACTGAGCCACCCAGGCATCCCTGAATCTCATTTTAATAGTCCTTTCTGTTTCCTAAGTTCTATGTACTATGATAATTTGCACAAGCAAATTCTATAGGAAATATTAATATGTCAATTTTAACATTGATTTTGCTTTAATATTTCTTTTTTTTTAAGGATTTTATTTATTTAAGAGAGAGAGAAAGAGAGAATGAGCAGGGGGGAGGGGCAAGGGAGAGGGAGAAGCAGACTCTCCACTGAACAGGGGAGCCAGACATGGGGCTAGATCCCAGGACCCTGAGATCATGACCTGAGGTGAAGGCAGACACTTAACCACCTGAGCCACCCAGGCTCCCCCCACTTTAATATTTCTTAAACAATAGGGCCTTATAACTTTTGGAGCAATTAAATCTTAAAATTTTTAATTAACTGGTAGAGAAAATATTAGATACACATTTTTTTAGTATGTCTCTTAGTTTTGATAAACATTTTAGAAATAAACATCCTGAATATTTGAAATGGACAGAAGGAAAGTGAATAGGAAAACCTCTAAAGGAAAATAGTAAATACTGTGATCCACTGATTATGTAAATTTTACTTGAACAGTTTACCAGAGATGTGTCAAAGATTCATGTCGTGCTGAAATTTCGTTATTCTCTTCGTTGTATGTACCGAAATGCTTTCTGCATGTAAGTAGCTCTGTAGTTCATTTTTGATAGCCAAAGTCACCTTGTGACTTTTAAAATTAATTCTGTGTACAACTAGAAAATACTAATACCTAACTAAGAACAGAGAAATAATATTTATTATTACTCTTTTTTTTCATTGATGAAACTTGTGAATAATAGCTAACAGTTATAGAGTAGCTATATGATTGCCATGTATGTGATCTTGATCTGAGATTGAGAGACAAGATCACACTCAGATTTATATTCTACAATTTAAGATGCTCATTTTCAGGTTGGATTATGAATTTTGTAAGCAGTAACATTTAGCATGCATGCTTTATTGAAAGTTTCGTTAGCAAATAACCTTTTTCCTGTTGATTTTTGGTGTTGAGGGGAAACACTTTCAGTGGACAATTTGTGGTTAATGCCTTTCTGCAGGTAAAATCCCACTGAGAAGTGCTCTAGCTAACTTGCTCTGGGTTGTGTTCCAACTTAGTTTAAGGGACTTTAGGGGACACACTCCTGCTGATTCCACTGTTCTTTCCTGTCTTCCTTTTTTTTGTAATCTTGACCCAAAAACTATTTTAAGTGATGTCTGATTTGGCTTCCTATGGCTCTCAAATGTTCACTGACAAAGGATTATTGAAAGAATGTGTGACTCTCTCTTTCTTTTCTTGAATTCAGAGTTTCTGATGTTGATATTAATGTGAAAGGGTCATTCCACAAAGAGACAAAGAACACTAATGTTGTAAGGCTTCTCAGGTCTTCTCCTTTATCACGGCTGGGGGGACTCCAAACCATTGGGATCAAATATCTTCTATCACCTCCTTGAAAACATTAGCGTCTGTGTCATCATTGGCCTGTAGGCTGTGAGGATTATTCCTAAAGTATTCCTCTCTCTGTATAGTCCATCAATTGAATGCTATAGAACCATGGGATTTTAGGGCTAAGGTTACCTTGAAGGTCAAATAGTCCAACCCCTTTCCTTTATAGAGTTAAGAAATTGAAGCCTATAGTGAGTAGGTTATTTGTCCATGAGCATGGATAAAGATACAGAAATGAATGAGAAAGTAAGATCTCTGTCTACAGCAAGGGAACTCCACACTACACTTGCATTAGTCCTATGGTTTCCCTTATTATATCCTTAATACCTACCTACCTTATCAAACCTTGCTCAGATACTAGGGAATCTTCTGATATGATAGCTGAGTTGAAAAGATAATAGTCTTTAGTAAACCCTGACTAAACAGAATTTTAAATTACAGGAAATCTAAATTTGTCAAAATTATTTGTTTTTCTAAACATGTCATATTGCCAATCTAGTTTTCAAAACAAGCAAAAAATGATACTGGCTTTTATCCAAAATAGTAGTAGCTTTTATTCAAAAGAACAAGAAGTCTTTGGTGAAAATAAATTACAGCATTAGGAGATAACTGTAAGAATAGTGAATATGGACCCTCAGTGAAGGATATCTACTACAATTGGATTCATAACCAGTAAAGTTTATCAAATAAGTTTATAATGAAAAATTGCCCTGAGGACTGCTAAGAAAAAAATCAAGATCTTCAATTACATAGTTCTTGAAGGTATAGGTTAACGTGAAAGCTAAATGACTCAGCATGAATCATACAAGTAATGCTTTTTGGTAAATTATACTTCAATGAGGACTTCTATATAAACGTAACTCAAATTCTTCCCACTGGAATAATAGCACATTTCAACTGAACAGAGGTCAGAAGTAAAAGAAGAATGTGCTTTACTTGTGAAATGACACAAACATTTCTATTACAAAGAAGAGGAAGGTTAAGAATCTTTTTTGTTCTGAGATAGAGTAGAAAAGATTCAGAGAACCAAAGAGGAAGACTGGCCAATAAGCTGTTTCCCTCAATATGTTTCAAGGGATGAAAAGGCCTTTAGAGATATCTAGTCCAAATTTCCTCCAAATGAAGATAGAAGGAACATTCAGTCTTAGCTTAAATACTTTCCATTAAGGTGAATCTACTTCTTTATGAAGTAGCCTCTTCAATGTCTTAGCTATGAATTTATATCTTTTTCTATAGATTGAGTGAAAATCTGCATCCATGTATCTACTTTAAACATATACCTTACCTTTTTCTATAAATTTTAGGTTAAATTTTCAGAAGAATATTTTCAGCATTAAGGCCAATTTCCATTTATCTATAATAATGAAAGAAATTGACAGTATTCAATATTTACAGTCAGAAGGAGATACTTTTCATCATTACTTAATGATATACATCTGTATCCCCATTTTTATTTATTCTCTCTTCATTTCTAAAGTTTTATGATTTTTATAGCTTTATAAGGCTAGGTTCTTAAAATAGCAGATGAAAATAGTATATTCATGTATAATCAAATTATGTCTATATTTTAATTGATATATTCATAGTGGAAAGAGCATTTTCATTGCTGGCATTGGTTTATTTGAAGAATCCTGGAGAACTGTATGTCTTAAAACCACAAATTATTGCTTACCATCAACTATCAATTTTTTTAAATTTCATATTGAAAAATATTTGGTCTTGTGTGTTTGATTTTCAAATTACCTTACTATAAAATAATTAAATATTCTTAATGCTTAAAAATGTATATTATTTCAGAAGTTCCTTCTAAATGGTACAATGCAAGGGCAGTTTACTGAATATCCTAGGCCACATGGATTTCTATGGAATTTCATCTTCAATCTTTGAAATATGCATAAAGAGGCAGAAAGTCATACAGGTGATATTTATGCTTTGATCAGTTTGGAACCTTTCTTTTCTTCCCATCACTGCCATTTTTTGAAATTAGAGGTCAACCACTTGAATATTAACACCTGGGTATTGGAGCAAGGACACATGCAGATGTTGGTAAGATCAAAAGCAATGTTCTCAAGTAAACTAGCTCAAGTCCATATCAGCCTATGAGCCTTTTCTTAGCCAGGTAGAAAAGAACTATCCTAACTCTGGCATATACTAGCCATTATGGCTCTAAAAATTTAAACTACATAATAATCCCCTGGATACTTGTTTAAAAAGCAAAATCCCTTACCTTTTCAGTGCTGACATCTTGGGGGTGAGACCTATGCAATAGTACAGGGTTTAATGTTCTGCTTCACCATCTTGAAATTCTCAATAATTTTATTTTTGAAGTATTTTTTTTAATTCCAATGTAGTTAACATACAGTGTTTTATATTAGTTTCAAGTAAACAATATAGTGATTCAACAATTCCTTATATTACTCAGTGCTCATCAAGATACAGGTTATTTTAGTCCCCTTCACTAATTTTACCCATCTCCCACCCACCTTCCCTCTGGTAACCATATTTGTTTTCTATAGTTAAGAGTCTGTTTCTTGGTTTGTCTCCTTTTTTTTCCCATTTGTTAATTTGTTCTGTTTCTTCAAGTCCACATATGAGTGAAATCATATAGTATTTGTCTTTCTCTGACTGGCTTATTTCACTTAGTAGAAATAAGATCCATCCATGTTGTTGCAGATGACAAGATTTCAGTCTTTTTATGGCTGAACAATATTCCACTATATATATATACATATCATATCTTTTTTATTCATTTATCTATCAGTGGACACAGGCTATTTCCATTTGTTGGCTATTGTAAAAGCTGTAATAAACATAGGGATACATATACCCCTTCAATAGTGTTTTTATATTCTTTGAGTAGATATCCAGTAGTATGATTACTGGATCATAGGGTAGCTCTATTTTGAAGTTTTTGAGGAACCTCCATACTGTCTTCCACAGTGGCTGAACCAAATTTGCATTCCCACCAACATGTTAGTTACTTCCTTCTATTGGCCAACCAGTTATGCTGAAAACAATGCATAAGAAGGAAAAGAAAAGGTAAGACAGACCATGGTTTTTTTCCTTTCAGTCCTTTCTTACTTATTACTAAGCCTGAGGTAGGAAGTGTTGGTAGGATCTGTGTACATCAGAAAGTGAAATAGCTGTTAGTTTTGTGGAGCATTTCATTTTTCTGTAAGAATGAAATACATAAGCATGTATAGACTAAAATTATGAATTGTGTTAATTCAGTAACTTCATGTACATGTTAAATGTTCTTTATGTTTGCATTTTAAACTGGAATTATACAGTATAAAAATGGATGTAAAATTTATGCTAATAATTTCAAATTTTCATTTTTCTTTACTTAGAGCAACATTAAATAGCAAACCACAAACATCATGACAAGGCAAAAAAGGCCTATAGCACAAAGCAAAAGGCTTTATATTTTACAACTTAATGATGTATGTTCCTTTTTAAACAAGGGCACCCACATGTTCATTCTGCTTTAGGCACTGAAAATTACCGTTTCAATAGGTGTGGGGTGGGAACGGACATCTGCATCTTTAGCAAGCTGTGATGCAGGGAATACATGGTAAACACTGTCTCTATAGAACTCCTTTGATTCTTATGAAATATAGCCTTATATTTTTATTTGTGTTTACATGGATATAGTTCTGGTCATATAAGATTGCAGGGTCAGTTAATGTAAGACATACAAAATACTCTAGATAACTTACAGTATTTAGCTGAGTGTCTTCTATCTGGTATCTTTTTAGAAATATTTGCTTATTAAAAAAATATAAAGAATTATAAAGGTCCACCTGACAATAGTCTAACAAAGTAGTAGTAAATAAAACAATTTTATTTATTTTTTATTTTTTTTAAAGATTTTCTTTTTTTTTTAAGATTTTATTTATTTATTTGAGAGAAAGAACGAGAGAGAGAGCACATGAGAGGGGGGAGGGTCAGAGGGAGAAGCAGACTCCCTGCCGAGCAGGGAGCCGGATGCGGGACTCGATCCCGGACTCCAGGATCATGACCTGAGCCGAAGGCAGTCGCTTAACCAACTGAGCCACCCAGGCGCCCAATAAAACAATTTTAATAATAAGATTAAATTTAGAAAAAATTATGGCCCATTGTGACTGTCATGACCTATTTTTATATAGTATCCATAAAAGTTACATTGCTAAAACTGAAGTCATTCTCATCTATAAATTGTGAACACAAAATATTTCTCCCAAGAATTCATAATTAAAAGAAACTATAGAATACATATATAGAGACTTATGTTTACAACAAAATTTTCTGGAAGAAATTTAGTAGCACAAATAACTTTTTAAGTGAAATCTTAGACATGAACTCACTATATTAAACAATTATTGTCAGAACTGTTCTCTTGAAAGAGCAGAAGAGCTGAGTTCCACCCACCAGAAATCAGCCTACCTTCCTCTCTACAGCCTGTAGGACACAATTTAAGAAGATGAAGGTGTTATGTTTCCAAATAATCTAATCCTTAGATGGCCAATCCTCCCTCCACCCCCAAAAACCCTCTTTAAGAGGCTTGAAATACACTCGTTACCTTTTAATTTAGGTTAAATTGAATTATATTAATTTTTACTTTTAAATTAAGACAAAATGCCTTGGAAATACTGTGGAAAAGATTCTGACCATTGCTAGGATAGTAGATGTTAAGGTGTTTTTTTAACAGGCCTACTAATTTTTAGAAAATGAATATTTAAATAAAATCAAAACCTGTGACCACATAAGTCACCTGTGTGAATGAGTTCTATATATGTTTTTCCCTTTACCTTATAAAAAAAGTGCACAAAACAAGAGATTTATTTAGTTTGGAGTTTTGCCAACTAATCTTTACAGAATAAAATCCCTAAAGACACATTCTTGACAAATGGGGTTGTATATAGTTATTCATAAATTCAGCAGCCCTACTTAAAAATGTCTGGGAAAGTGTTTTATACGTGAATGCTCCATGTATAAATGTATATACATTTATATGTATAATCATTGAATACTTATTGAAGATTACATATGAGCTTCAGTCCTGAGGAAAAGTGATCTGAGTAGTAAGAGAATGTTAGCTAGAAATGGCTCAAGTACTTCTGGTATTCCAGGCAAATTATCTGTGAACCGAGGAGGACTTCAACAATAGTTCATAATAACTGATTTGGAGCTGTTATAGTCAGGTAGGTTAAAATTTCTGTTTAAATATTGGCCTGGGGCTCCTGGGTGGCTCAGTCTGTTAGGTGTCTGACTTGATTTTGGCTCAGGTCATGATTTCAGGCACATGAAATTGAGCTCCTAGGGTTCCTCGCTCAGCAAGGAGTGTGCTTGAGATTCTCTCCCTCTCCCCCTGCCCCTCCCCACCCAATGCTTTCTCTCTTTCTCTCTCAAATAAGTAAATCTTTAAAAATAAAAAAGTAAAATAAATATTGGCCTATATATGGTTGATCAAGGCACATGAAAGCAAGTTTGAGCCCACAGGCATGCTGTCAGTTAATAGCCCCAAACTACCGACCTTAGTCAGTTTCAACAGTCCTGAGAAAACTGCTATTTTATTTGAGACTATATTCTTGGAAACATAACATGGAGCAAATGTACCCTACCTTCATAAATCCTTAATTTCATAAGTTTCCTCTCTGGAACCAAGACTACAGTCTCTATGGTTATACTTTGATCAGTATAATGAACTAGTTCTAAAGTTATGATGTGATTTTGTGAAGTTACCTGACATCCTCAGGCTGTAGTTTCCTCTGTTTGCAGAGGGTGACTAAATTACATCACAGAGGGTTTTTGAGTAACAGTTTATGCAAAGTAGCATTTCCCATATCTCATGCTCCATTGTAATAACAAGCATTGGAGCTTAAAATTAAGAAATTGTGATTAGGAAAAGTTTCACATTCTGATAATTTAATATAAAAATTTTCTTATTATATGTCAACACAGGTTTTTGAAATAAGTATATATATATATATATATAAACATATATGTATTTTTTTCTTAATTGACTGCCTCTAATATATATACATCCTTTATTTGTGCTAAAAATCTAGAAAGGATTTTAGAGCCAATTTGTTGAAAAAGTTTGACATAGCATTTTGTGAAGAGGATGGAAGATAAAGTTCATGGGGGGGAAAATTGGTCATGAATATCTGAGATGATCTGAAGTAATAAAAACATTGACGAATCCATTATTGTGCTCCCCGTCCTGTGAAGGAGAGCTGGATAGTCATATAGAATGCTGTCTTACACCCACAATTCCATTACTTTTGAAAATGAAGGTACTGACCTTATCAACAAAATAGACGTACGCTTTTTTCTTCGCTTAGTAGGAATCAGATATTTAGGCTGTGATATTCAGAATATTTCAGAAAAAATAAGATATCACCAGTTCTCATTTATTCTCTTACCTCCTTGTAGATCACTACCTTGTATTCCAGCATGTAATCATGAGTATATGAGCTTACATGTTGCTTACAAGTCCCTGTCGACATACAGGTATATGCAAGGTATCCAGCTCAGATACTTCATTAAAGGAAAACTATGATTGTAAAAACACTTTCACTTCTGTCCTTTTAAAAAAAGGTCTATAATGACAGTCAAAATAGACTAATGATTTAAATGATCTAATTATAGCTCAATTTGATATGCCCCCCTTGCAAATTGAATATCACCAACGTATCTTTGATTGTTATTTTTAAAGTTAGCAAAGATTTCTGATATAAGAAATGTTCTACGCACTTCCAAAACCTCATCTTAACCTCTGCTTTTCTTTTTGTCTTCTATTGTAAAAACCATTTTTGATCAAAGATGAGCTCTTTCAAAAACTCATATTTTCTTCTTCCAGTTTTTGTTGTGCCCCTTTACTTCATTTTATGAAACAAAGGAATGAGAGAGGAAATCTTAAAGAGATGCTATTCACTGTTGACTTGTATACAGATATATCCAGCAAATAAAAGTCCAGAAACACCTTTTATACACTAAAGAAACATACTGCTTTGAGTAAAAATGACATGCCAGATTTTTCTTATAAAATGAAACAGCTTGACAGCATTCAGTTTTCTCCCCCCTTTCATGACCCTGATAATTTTTCCAGGCACCATTTGACTCAGTTACTAAGTATATATTTACTCCGTAACTACCTACAGCAAAGGAATATGGGTAGTAATGTTGCAGATACATGAAGTACAAGACACTCTCACTTGCCCTTTCCCAGTTCTGCTGGCACTTGCTGACAGTTGTAAAAACTTGTTGTTGTCATAAGCAGAGACAACTGCAAAGGCACACAGGGAACAGATGTATGCTATAATAATAACAAGGTGCCACTTTAAAAAAATACTTTTCAGCTTAGGGCTACATTTAAACCTTCAGGTACAGTTCATGAAACTCATAATGTGGGAGAGTGAATACCTCTGGTTTCTTTGAGAGTCTCTAGGGGAAAAGACTCTGAGATATTGTTATCATTATCACCATCTTGCTAACTGAATCACAGTTAGTTCCTTGGTTATTACACCTAAGGGAGTGACTTATTACCCTCTAGGTTGAAATAAAGGGCAAAATGAGATTCTTCTATTGTTGGAAGGTGGGATACATTCAGGACACACAAAGGAAAAGGCATTCTATTCAATCTCAATCTTTTAAAAATAGAGAACTAAACTAATCTGAATATGCAATCCTCAGTTTGGCCATATAAAATAATTGAGCATAGGTTTCAACTAAAGTGAATGCAGATGGAAATCTCTGTACATCTAGATACATTCTTCCTTCTGAAATATATGTATGTCTGTTTTTATAGAATTGCAAAAACAAAACAAGCAAGATTTCATACAAAAGCAGAGCTGCACTTGAAAATGAAAGGATGTTAACGTGTCACCGACTGCACATTTTTTATCTCAGTTAAGGTGTAAAATTATAAGATGTTGTTGAAGTAATTCAGTCAAATAAAGGTAATATTGATGAAAACCACTTTCACTTTCATTGATTCATAAACATTGGAGTGTAAATGTGTAGACTTCTTTTCAAACTATATAGATAGAAATGAGTGTTATAACTTTAAATATCTGGAAAGGAAATATAAAATATATGTTACACTTGAATCTGAAATATAAAATGGTGACTGTTTTGATGATGAAAAGTTTGAGCCCTATTTTGCTCAGGGATTGTACTTTTACGCCTTTTCCTAATGTGACTAATTTTGTTGCTTTCTATTATTTGTTTCCTATTGTGACCCCAATTTATTTTAAAAGGAATTATTAATTGTCTTGTCTCTTTGCAATAGCTCAGTGTGGAATAGGCAGATGAAACCAGGGACTCCTCAAAGTCACTTCTGGCCTCGTGATTCTCTATTTATTTGCTAAATTGCCCCAGTCTAAGAAATGGTTAAAAAAACGAAAATGCCAGTATGGCAATTTTCTGATTTACTCTCCAAATAAATCTAAATGATTAGGACTTCTAAAACACTTGAAATATGTTTACAAATAATTAAACTAAACACATTGTAGGAAAGAGTAGAGGGTACTAGGATGAGTGCTTTTGACTGGAGCAGGTGACCACTGATTTTAAGTGTGAACCGTGGAAATAAAAGCAAACGTGCTTGATCATTTACTCAGCACTGGAGGCAATAATCAAGTTCCTCAAATCAATCACACCATCAAAGAGTGATGGCGGGGAGCAGACGTTTTATCAGCAAAACTGCGTATTTTGTATCAGTTTGTCTCTTTGTATTTTTAGACATAAATCTTTAATGCGGAGTTTGTGTTCAGACAGCGTTCTCTCCTCCCTACAGGTGTTGACAACACAATAGGATTTGTGGATTTTGAGCACCTCAGGGAAAAATTGTCATATGAGAAAAAATTGATATTACATTGTAAGACCTACTTTAATAAATATATCTCTTCATTTCAGAGTAACAGTATTTGGGCAGATAATTTAGGAGAAAAGTACCTCAATTTTAACAAATTATATTTTATATCATATATGGGTACTAATATCGATAGCCAAGAATGGTGATCAATTTTATAATGCATAATTATACAAATATATATTTTATATATAATATAGATATTATTAGCAAGCAATGGTAGTTCTGTTTTATAGCTTTTCATATTAAATCAAGAGTGCTATATTTTGACTCCTGTTAGATTAGAAACAGCATTTTTTTCTGTTGATTTTCTCAGTAAATATTCATATTTTGTTTTGAAAGCTGTTAAACTGAACTTAATATGAAATTTTTTAAATAAGACATTTCTCAACATTAATTCTGAAAAATATTCTTATTGTATTTTGCTTAATATTGACTTATAAACATAAACTTCTGAATAATAAGGAGAAAGGGTAAAAGGGACATGAAAGTTATCGATTGGCATATACATTTAGCTCTCAATGATTGTGTCCTTGAGAAATACAAAACTTAATAGAAGTTGAAGCACAGAATATCTCTACTTTCTCATATCTTACTTATTTCAAACTGATAGATAACATGATGCCAAACCTATGAGTAGTTCATGTAGTGAAGTATAGTTGAATTGCTAGTGGATAGGAGCATGGCTGATAGATTTTATTGTATAAAATGTGGTGCAGTTTTGTTCTTACAGTTAACTTGAAAGCCAACACAAAATAGTAAATATTAGATGACTTGAAACATTATTAAGTGCTTGTCTCTAGTTAGTAATGTTACATTTAACTTAAGCTTGATGCAAGTTATGATTCCCCTGAGTAACCACCGTGTAGTATACACCATGGAGATCGCTTATTTATAAAAGTGACAAATTTATATAATAAGGTAAGTTTGATAAATCTATAATATGGTAAGGTCAAGGGCCATCTAATTGAATATAAATCGACTAACCTTGGCAGATTCACCAAACACATTTAGAAGTCTTATAATACAATGTTTTTGCCATTTGTTTAAAAATTTTAGTAGTAAATATATGTGTATTGTGTGTGTATTCAGATTTTGCCACCTGAAATGTCTACACAATTACAAAACACATCCTCATTTTAATGTTTATTTTTATATTATTTTCTCTGATTTCACTATATTGTGCTGTTGTGGATGTTTTATAGTGTTGAAAGCCTAATCCTTGCTTTGTCTTCTGCATTGTACATGGAATAGTTATATTGGGTAATTTGTATATACTTATTCTTCTGATGCCACATAGTTGCTTGCTAATATTATACATTAATGTTTGTTTGAGCCATTGAGTTTTATGAATGCTATCTTGTTGAAAGTCATTATTATAAGTGGGTATTATCCATCATTTACATCCCTGGATAGAAGATATCATTATGAGAATTTTCCAATGGGTGGCCTAAATAAAAAGTTTGATTATTTTTGTTTGAAGGAAATGCAAAGGGATTTTCATTCCCAAGTGATAGATATCACTGATGTATAAAATTATGTCTTGCTTTTGCTTTATTTGAAATCTTATTTTGGTCTCAAAAGAAAAACAATTTTCAAAAGTAAAGTAAAAAACACATCTACATTAATAGATACATGTTATGATTAGTAGACCATTCAAAAACCAGTGACTTTATTTCCCAGTGCCCAGCAATAGAAAAAGGCAACAAAGTGTATGCTGATGATTTCAATAACCTTGCATTCAAAAGGCTAGAAGCTTGGAAACCAGAATCTAACATAATTCTGCACATATTATCATGAGGCAATATACATTTATCTTTAGTCCCAAAGTCTGAGGGTTCTCGAGGGGAGGGGGGTGGGGGGATGGGTTAGCCTGGTGATGGGTATTAAAGAGGGTATATTCTGCATGGAGCACTGGGTGTTATACACAAACAATGAATCATGGAACACTACATCAAAAACTAATGATGTAATATATGGTGATTAACATAACATAATAAAAAAATGAAAAAAAAATAATGTTAATGTTCTTTGTTTTAAAAGTCTTAAATTCACATAAGTATTTATGTACAATATTTCATAATGTAGTCAGGTGACTAAATTTTCAGATGTCAATTAGCAGTGTCCTCTCAAACAGAAAATTCAAGTTTACTAAACTTACTTTTTGAACTACATTTTTCTTCGATGACTTCATATAAGTGCATTGCCTACCATATATTTGAATTTTGGTTGTAGATAGAGGAACAACAGCCTCCTAGGTCAATATTTCCCAGTGTTTAATCATTGGGGCAATATCTCTGCAGAATTTCCCTAAGTATTCACTCACATACATACACGTGGACACACACATGCAAATACAGATTTATGATCAACTACATTGGGAAGCTTGTGGTTAAACAAAAGAAAATGCATCCCTTTATGGCAAGCATTCTCAGATACTATAACTACAATAACTTTAAACTGTCAGAATCCAGGATATGCATACATTAGGTAAAATATTCCTAAAAGAATTGGGCACAGAAGACATTTTTCATGGAATATCACACAAGAATATCATTCTCTGGAATTATTAAATAATCTAAGGATTTTTTTTATTGTTACTAAATCCAACTGGCATTTTGAAATGACGTCTTACTTAAATTCTCATTACTAGTGATCACTTCTTACCACTTCAATATTGGCTTCTAAGGCATTGTGCTTTCCTTTCCATTTGTATGCTTCCATTCACAGGAGAAAACAAATAAAACTTTTTTTTTTTAGAAAATCCACCAAAAATCTAATTCATCATGAGGGCTTCTTGCACTTACTGTAATTCTACCTAATGATATGAGGCAAAGCTCTTTCCTTTTCTCTTACAAAATGGAGGAACATGAACTAATGAGCTTTTAAAGTCTGACGTCTAACATAATATGAGCAGAGGCATTATTTTGGGAGGTGGAGCCCAATTTGGGATTACAAAGGTGCCACAGAGCACCTATGCTCCTGGTGAAACCACCTCTTCCCAACTTTGACATTACTCACATGAGGGTCAAAGGTTGGGTGATCTGAAAATCCCCCATGCAAATGGTGAAACCACCACTTCTTCTGACCCACAATCCTCCCTCTGCCATAACTACAAACTTTCCAAAACATCACTCCGTAGGAGACCATAACTGGAACTAAGCATTATATCCCCATAAGAAACCATCAAAATTAATCAAAACTCTGTGTATCTTCATTTATGTCAGTTTTCTAAGTAATTTAACACACTCATTTCTTCCTTAGTCATTTGGATTTTTAAAGACACAATGCCATGTATATCCAATGAACTAACTCATTCTCTCACAATGTAAACTCTTTCAGTGTGACCATTGAGCAGAGGAAATCCCCTATACCCTCCATGTGTCTCAATGTTCCTTCCATTTCTTGTTCTAACTGAAATCTAGATATTACCTAAGGACACTTCTTCCCCAGAAGTACTCTCCAGTAGTCTTTTGCTCAGACTCTAAGTAGCAGTGGTCCAGGAGTTAGAATAAGTTTCATCCCTCTACAAACAAATGAATAAACAATTTCTTTAAAATGTATCAGGAGGATATGTGAATGTTTTCCCTAATTGTAAACACTTATACAAATACCATTGATGTTTTATCACCTTGCTTATTACCTTTCTTTGATTAGTACTTATTATTCTTAGTGATGTCAATATATAAGCAATGTATACAACACTTTCTAATTTTAGTTTTGGACTTACCTCACCTCCAGTAATTTTGTCCTGTACTTTACCTCTATCACCCATTTCCATCATCATTCCCTCCAGACATCATCATTACCAATATCTGGACCACCTCCAAAATCTGAATTAAAAATTTTCCAGTGTCTGCCTCATATTTTCATTTTAAAATAGAACTCTTCAAGAACCCCAACTCTTCAAATTCTTTGATTCCACCATTATCTCTATCCACTGAAACCAATAATTCACCATTGATCTCCCAACTTTGGTAG